CCAGATAGTTGGCGTTTGTATTGGCCGCGATGAATATTCAGCTGTACTTGATCTGCCATAACGGTTGATATCTATACAGATTTTATTAGGATTTTTTAAAAAGTTATAGCACTTTAAAGTAAAAAATGTCAATTATAAAATCAAAAATTTTCACATAAAAATAGCATTCGGTAGCCATTTTCACCGTGAAGTCCAGAGGTCAAATTTTTTTTTTTCAAATTAAAGTACATTACATTAGCTTTAATTTAAGATATATATAAAACTGTCAGACCTTCCGGAACATTTTCAAAAGTTNGATATATATAAAAGTGTCAGACCTTCCGGAACATTTTCAAAAGTTAAGTTGAAAAAGTAAATTTTTTGTGAAAAAGTTGTCATTTTAAATCCCCCCTGTGGGCAGAAAAAAGGTCAAATTTACAAAAAAAATATACCAAATAATAGGTAAAGACATTAAGCATCTATATAAAAAAATTTATATTAATATGTTCATTTTTGAAAAAGTTACGGCAGTTTTTAGTAAAAAAAATTGAAAAAATTTCGAAAATTAGCGATTTTTAAATTTGTAATTTTTTTGGAGGTTTCCCCCATTTACGGGGAACGAGGGAAATTTTTTCAATTTTGAAGGGTAATGTCTTCGACTAGATACGATTTGTGATCTTTTGACGTATCGTTGAAAGAAATCCGTTCGGTGAGAGCTGAGAAAAAGTGGTAACAGACAAAAAAAAAAAAAAACACATCATAGTAAAACCAATACCTAAAAAAATTTAAATATGATTAATTTTTTATATTATGTCATTTAGATTGATATAATATTTATGATAATCAGTGTAATCCTCTTATAATAAAATAAAATACATAACCAAAAATATTAACACAAAAATAGCATATTTTTGAATACGGTAGCCATTTGTGCATAGTAAATAGGCCGTCGGGACAAATTTTTTTTTTTCATTTTATAGTACATAAAATAAGCTTTAATTTGATTTATGTTTAAAGGACGCAGTATATCCGGAACATTTTCAAAAATTAAGTTGAAAAAGTTAGTTTTTGTAAAAAAGTTGCTATTTTAAATCCCCCCCCAATGAGCAGGTTAAGTTAAGATTTTCAAAAAAATGATATCAAATGAAAGGGAAATATCTAAGGTTTTAGTATAAAAAAAAATTATGTTGATTTGTTTGACGTATTGTTAAAAGAAATCGGTCCAGTGAGAGCTGAGAAAAAGTGGCAACAGACATAAAAAAAAAAAACACATCATGGTAAAATTAATACCTTCTCAGCTTCGCATCGAAGCTAAAATTTGTCCCGACACCTTATCTATTATGTGCAAATTGCTGTCAAAATTTAAAAAAAAATGTAATATTTGCGATAAAAATCACCTTCTATAAGGATGTTTTTTTTACATAAAACTGCCATAACTTTTTCAAATATTAACAAATTAAAATAATATTTTTTTATAATAAAACCTTAGATCTTTCCCTTTCATTTGATATCATTTTTTTGAAAATCTAACACAACCTGCTCACTGAGAGGGGATTTAAAATAGAAACTTTTTTACAAAAACTAACTTTTTCAACCAAATTTTTGAAAATGTTCCGGAAATACTGCGTCCTTTAAACATATACCTTGTAGTGTTTTGGTGTTTATATTTATTACAAAATACTACAATTAAAATTTATAATAATTAATACTTTTTAATAATGAAAAATAATTTTATACGTACATAAAAAAAGAGTACAAATAAAAAGTGTCACTGGATTGACGAACAGCGCGAGAATAAAAAAAATACACGGAGTGTTATCGTACTGCAGTACATCTAAGATAAAACATATAAACATATATAAACGCATTCATTGTGACATGTTATTTAACATCTTTGTTAATCCCTACATTACCCCCTTTCCAGTGAAAACGATAATTTTACGTTAAACATACATAGTTACAAATATCAAATATAAAAATACAAATACAAATATAAAAGTGATACAATTCACAATTTACAAAAACCTTACGGGGAGGCGGATGGTTCTTCCTGACTTGGTTTGTTTTGTTTGTATTATTGTTGGTCTTGTAGTTGTATTTCTCTGGTTGTGCTGGTTCGTTGTTATTGATAGATTTGTGTTATTATCTTCATTTTCGTTGAAACATGGCTTCAGTCTGTCTATTGATATGATACATTCTTTTTGTCTAATTAATAATTTAAAGGTTTTTTCGTATCGTTGAACAATTTTGTACGGCCCTTCATATGGTTGTTCTAGCGGCTTCTTGACCCGGTCGACCCGAACGAAAACGTGTGAACAGGATGCTAGATCTTTATATATAAAAACATTTTTACTTCCGTGGTTTGAAGTTGACACTGGGCGTATGGTTTCCATTGTTTTCTTTAGTGTTTCAGCAAAGGAACAAGGGTCTGTCGCCACTGATGACTGCATAAAAAACTCATTAGGTAATCTAATCGTACTTCCAAATACAATTTCTGCAGGTGTTAAACCTAGATCTTCTTTAATCACTGATCTAAGGCCCATAAGAACTGAGGGGAGTACATCTGTCCAGTGCTCAGTCAACACTTTATTGCCGTTTAAAGTGATCGGTGGAATCGTTTGACTAAACCATTGGCTGGTGGATGATATGCTGATGTACGTATTCTTCTAAACCCTAAAATTTGCGTTACTGCGGTGAACAGAGTAGACTCAAATTGCCGTCCTTGATCTGTTGTCAATCTCTCCATAACTCCATATCGAGCTATCCAGCCTTCAAATAACGTACGAGCTATGGTTTCAGCCGAAATATCCTGAATTGGAAAAACTTCTGGCCATCTAGAAAATCTGTCTATAGCGGTTAAACAGTAAGTACAACCACGTGACATGACCATAGGACCGATTATATCGATGTGTACATGTGAAAAACGATCACTCGGCACATTAAAAATACCACACGGACTTATAACATGTCGCGTTATTTTTGACTTTTGACACGCTAAACACGCACGAGTCCATTTCGCACAATCACTGTTCATCGACGGCCACACGAAACGACTACTCACTAATTTTATTGTTGACCGTATACCTGGGTGAGCGAGATTATGTAGACAATTGAACACATTGCGGCGAAATTGCTTGGTAAGATACGGTCGTTGTCTACCATTAGAAGTGTTGCAGTAAATATTTGTGTTCGTAGTGGGCATATTTACGAGCTCTAGTTTTATCGATAATTCCGGTTTTGACAATAACGACAATAGTTTTGCGTCTGCTAACTGGTCGTAAGCTAACTTGTCATAATCTAGCGGTGGCGGTGAATTTATAGTTTCTATTCTCGATAATGCATCGACCACTGTATTCTGTGTACCTGTTACGTGCCGTATTGATGTTGTAAACTGACTAATAAAATCAAGTTGTCGTGCACGTCGAGGTGGTAATTTATCTGAGTGTTGTGTGAATGCGTATACTAACGGCTTATGGTCCGTAATTATTTCAAATTCACGGGCTTCCAGCATATAGCGAAAATGCTTAATGGCTTCATATACCGCAAGAAGTTCACGATCGTATGCACAGTATTTTTTTTGTGTTTGGTCAAGTTTGCGAGAGAAAAAAGCAAGTGGTTGCCAAACGCCGTTTTTAAATTGTTCTATTACTGCGCCTATCGCCATATCTGACGCGTCACATCGTAATTGAATATTCGCGGCCGGATCTAGATACGATAATGTTGTGGCTCGCTTTAAGTCTTCTTTAGTTTTCTCGAACGCTCCCGTTGATTGATCGGTCCATACAATTGGTGTTTTGTCGTTTTTTTTGCTGTTTTTAAGATAATCGTGAAGAATAGCTTGTGTACTTGCTGCGTTTGGGATACAACGGCGGTAAAAATTGCACATAGCCAAAAAACGTCGAAGCTCTTGTACATTATTCGGCCGTGGATATTTGTCTATCGCTTCCAGTTTTTCAGGATTTGGTCTAAGACCGTTACCCGATATGATGTATCCTAAAAATAGTACCTCTTCTTTTCCAAATATACATTTATTCGTATTTATCACAATGCCGTACTCACTGAGTCGTTGTAATACACGTTCGAGGTGACTCAAATGCTCTTGTGTTGAAGACGATGCAATTAAAATATCGTCCAAATACACTTCACAAAAATCTAAGTCTTTTAAAACACCATGTATGAAACGCTGAAATGTTTGAGCTGCATTTTTAAACCCGTATCCCATCCGAACAAACTCAAATAACCCAAAAGGTGTTGTAATAGCTGTTTTTGGAATATTGGACGGTTCTATTGGTATATGGTTAAAAGCTTTAACGNGGACGGTTCTATTGGTATATGGTTAAAAGCTTTAACCAAATCGATTTTTGAAAAAATACTTTTATTTTGCAATCGCTGTGTGATGTCTTGAATGTGTGGAATGGGGTATCTGTCCGGTAATGTGACTGCGTTTAACCTACGGTAGTCGCCGCACGGTCTCCATTCACCGTTCTTCTTTTTTACTAGTTGTAATGGGCTGGCCCACGGACTATTTGAAGGTCGGCATATGCCCTGTTCTACTAAATAAGCAAATTCTTTTTTTGCGATCTCTAGTCGATCCGGAGGAAGGCGTCTTGGTTTAGCGAAGAGTGGTGGTCCTTTAGTGATGATATGATGTGTAACGTTATGTTTACAATCCATTGGGATCATGTTTGTTCTTAATACTTGCGGAAATTTTTTGAGTAACTTAATGTATGCTGAATCGTCTTTTAAAGCGAAGATGCTCGAGGATATCGTCTNGCTGAATCGTCTTTAAAAGCGAAGATGCCCGAGGATATCGTCTTTTTAACTTTTCCGGCGGTGGCTAAATTGGTATTTTCATCAATTAGGCGTTTACTTCTTAAGTCCACTAATAAGCCGAAGTAGTGGAGAAAGTCAGCACCTATAATTGGTTTACTGACTGCTGCGACAATAAATTTCCATTTAAAAACACGTCTTAAACCTAAATTTACAGCAATTAATTTGTCACCGTATGTTTTTATTATTGACCCGTTGGCTGCGAATAAAGTAGGGTTACCATCTTTTATTTTATTGCGTTTCTGCTTAGGATCTGCTGGCCAAACCGAAAAGTCCGCACCAGTATCAATTAAGTATTGAGTTTTTGTTATTTTATCAACAATAAATAGACGACGAGATTGAAACTCACTACCGTCGGTCGTCTCGACAGTAGATCGTTTATAGTTTTCCGACGTGTGCTGGTATTTACACGGTGGTTTGCATTTAGTAGCCTTATCTTTGAATCGGTAATGATAATAACATGTATCATATCGTGGTCGTGAATTGTCTCGGCGCATAGGTGATTTTGAGTGACGCCTATTGTAGCTACGAGAGTTGCTGTTGCTAAGTCGCTCTGCTGCTTATGCGAGTGCTGCGATCTGGTGTTCCAATTTTCTTATTGTCGTTGCATCGTCAGCTTGTTCATGTGACTGACGGTTTGTGAC